CAGGAAGAGGGGGAGAAGATTAGACAACCTTGCAGCAGCATTCAGCTTTGCTAAGTGTTCCATAGCATCTTAAATATTATGTACAGTCTTTCTGGAAGGATACAAACTGGCTTCAGAGTTTGTGGAATTGTAGCAGTAAAACCCAAAACAGTTCTAGGGAATAGTCTTTTGGCAGCATAGCAGGTGTCCAAAGTGAATAGTCACTTTTCTAGTATTTTTCCAGACAATAAGAGAATCTGTATAACCTTCTGCAGCTATCCAAGGAAGTCACCACTCCTCTTGGGTGGAGATTGCTGGAGATTGTGGTCCTTCTTGTTCTGGCTTTTCAGTGGCAGACTTTTTATTGCTACAGCAAGGTTTGAAGAGATGAGTGTCTATGAGGACTTCCCCAAAACGCCCTTTGTAAATAATTCCACAGCAGACCTTTTGCCTGGAAGAAATGGCAGGGAGACAGACAGATAGTTTGTGTGTTTAGAATATAAAGAATTTGCAGAAATGCAAAAAATCAGTTTGACCCAAGACACCACCTTTCTGAGCCTCCAGTCAGAGGATAGAAGGGAAAAGGCTGCTCAGAAAGAAAAAACAAGTCTGTGTCTAAATCCACAACACTGTTTTGAGAAAAAAAAAGAAAAAGAAAAAAAAAAACCAAACCCATGTCTATACAAAACTAAGTCTCCCATTTTGCTTCCCAGAGAAGTTTCAGATACACAACCATCTGGGCTGAACTAACCTTGACTACAATGTGCTTGCAAACACTGTTTGAGAGGAGGCAGCAAAGTCACAACAATTTCAGTAGAGCAATTAGCTAAACAAGGGATTACTGTGTCACAACAGGCAATAAAAGATAACAAGCTCATCAGCTCCCGGAAGATCTTGTGGTTTTCCTCCCACTCCAGATTTTTTTTTAAAAATGACTACCATCACAGGTCAACCAAATCAAATGCTATGTTTTGCTGGCAAGATGAGAGCACTGTTGTACTTGGTAACACATCACATCTACAGAACAGTTTTAAGACAAGATAATGACAGTCAGGGATATTATCTGTCACTCCCAAAACCGTAAAAATATTTTCCAGCAACTGTATTAGTATTTAGGGAACTGGAGGGAGATAGGGGAAAATGTCTTAAACACATGGCATTTCTTTCCACAGACAGATATTGTATAATACTCTGTGACTTAAATTATATCCTTAAAACAAATTAAGTTCAGCAGCAGCGAATTCCTGAAGAAGCAGAATCAAGCACTTTCTACATGAAGTGAATTACTATCTGCCCAGAGTGCACGTTCTGTTGCTTTTTACCTTTTCCAATACGTGAGATCTAAAAAGGAGAAAACTGGTGTTCTGCTGGACCCAGCGCTCATCTCTGTGTCAGAGCCATCGTCGGACTGATTACTGTAACAGGGTGACTGAGCTGGGGAGGCACTCGAAGTGGTGCTGTGGGCATCAGAATCTGTAGGGGAAAGAACAAATGCAAAATCAAGACATGCATCCAATGGCTTATCGTCTTCCTGACTTGTAAAAAGGTCGCATGCGGATTGGGAACAGAAAGACAGACTTTAATTAACAAGAAAAACCTAATAACAACCACCCATTTTTCACTTGCCCCTGCCAATTTCAATAGAGAGATTATCTGTCAGCACTTGGGAGACAGACCTCAGAACTGAAGGGGGTCCTTTTACATGAGGGACTGGAAAGAGGTTCAGGATCAGGCTTCAGTTCCTGACTCTCAAACATAGCCTGTGCAGGCCACGCTCTGGAAAAGATCCTAGTCCTGCTCTGGAATCACTGGAAGATCCTTGAAGACAATGGGGATCTGTGCTTCAGGCCTAGTACTTTCTCTCTCACTGTAAATCTTCCTTACCCATTCATTTAGTCTTGCAAAGCTCTTCTCATTAGTGCAAGGGTTACTTAGTATCAAGCTTTTGCTGGATCGAGACTCTGAACTATGGACTCAGTGCAGACGCACACCTTAACAGAGGGTCTACTGCCTAGCTTTTAGTTATCATCTCTAGCACCTACAGTAACACAATTAGATTAACCGTAGCATGTTGAATGAGGAGATACAAGGTCTTTGGGTCAGGGCCTTTACTGATTCTTTGGAGAGCTTTTCCTTCAGGCCAGGTAGGATAATTGAAAGAGAGAAAAGACCAAGTCAGCAACAGTTAAGAAGCCTGAAGGTTTGCTTTAGAGGAAAAACCTGAAGTACTGACATATATTTAGAGCATAACTGGCAGATGGCTTTCTTGGAAAGCTATGAATCCAAACCTATTTGAAGAGTCTAAGTGCTAGTGGAAAGAAATCACAGAGACCAGCAGAGAAAGGTGTAAGGAAACTATCCGAGGAAACGTGGTAGGAATTTTAAGGGCGGGG